AGCTCCGAAATCTTTTGGTTCCTCCACATTATTTCTGAATTGGGTATTAGAGTTCAACATGTAATTCTTCGTTGTGACAATTCTCATGATATATTGTAATTATAACCTCTTTCCATATGTGTACAGATTACTGTAATCGAATCCTTGATTGAGTCAATCAAGGATTCTTATCAAATATAAAGAGTACAAAACTATTATAAATAGAACCCATATCCCTCTCTATGGATATGGAGAATTTCACATAAGTATTCTCTCTCTAAATTTCTTCATGATATCAAAGCTTAATTTTTTTTTTTTTTTATTCTCTTTTCTATCAACATGTTCTACAGGTGAAAGAAAAGGGCCAAAGTCACCCACAACTATTCTTGTTGTTCACGTTTCTCTCTAAAAAAAGGCCTTGGCCTCTTCTCAACATCTTGCTACCACGCCCCTTTCTTCAAGGCAACAAATCCTTTCCTCTTCAAAGCCAAGGTATCTTTAACCATTCTCCTGTACTCTACTTTTACCAAATCAAAGTCACCATCAATCACCTACCACAACACCTCTTTCCTAATCAACTTTCTCAAAACTCGTTTCTCACCATCACCATAGAAAGTCCTCTATTCTAAAACCTATTCTCTCTTCAAAAATAAACTCTCCTCTCACCTACGAAAAAGGTCAATATTCCTTTCTCTCTCTCACAAGGTTATTTCCTACAAAAAAGGCAACATTCCTCATTTATCAAAAAGCACTTCTCTCGTCTACTAAAAATGACAACATTCCTCTTTCTCTCTCTAACAAAAAAGTTATTTTCTCTCTTCGTACAACCTCTCTTACCTAAACAGTCTCCCTCTCTCTCTCTAGTAAAAAATCCCCCATCAACCAAAAAAGACAATATTCCTTTCTCTCTCTCATAAGATTGTTTTATACCAAAAAGGTAACATACCACCCTCTTGCAAAAGTTATTTTCTCTTTCTTCATGCCAACTCTTCATACCAACTCTTGATTAAACTCGTTATCTAAAAAGGGGACTTCTTTTTTACTATCTTCTCTATGTCATAAAAAATAAAAAAATAAAAAATAAAAATAAAAAAACCTCATCTTGCTTTCTCTCTATATTACTTTTATCATGTCTTCATCTATTCAATTCCCAAATCTTCTCTCAACTTGTCACAATCAAGCTATCCAATGAATATTTTTTACTTTGAAAAGGCCAAATTATTCCTATTGCTAGAGGCTAAAGAATCATGTGACATCTTGATGGCTCTAAACAGGAGCCCCATAAGTTCCTCCTCTTTGATAAAGACGCTCCAAATCCAAAATATGAACAGTAGTACGCTTGTGAGCAACTCATCATAGCATAGATCAACTCTACATTATCCCATGATATTCTGGTACAAGTTCTTGACAATGTCACTGCCAAAGATCTTTGGTCTACCCTTCATGATTCCTATGCCCAACAATCTGAGGTGCGATTGATGCACCTTCACATCGAGCTTCAAAATTGCACATGTGGAGCACAATTTATTCAAGAGTATTTGAATAAGATGAAATCTCTCTTTGATCAGTATGCAATTATACAACATCCAGTTTATGACAAAGGAAAAGTTCGCTATGTTTTACGAGGGCTATGGTGAGGAATACAAAATATTTGTTACTTAGTTATAGCTCGACCACCTCTCACATTATATACATCTTTCCGCCCTCTCCTACTGGAACATGAGCTGTCGTTCAATCTTTCACCTATGGGAAAAAGTGACTCAACCATTGCATCTGGACATACACATGAGGTTCTCTATGCACCCTCTCTCCAAAGGGAGACGAAGAGGACGAGGCCATGGAAGAGGAAGAGGACTTGCTCGTGGCAACTTTAGTAGAGTTCAAGCTTAATGTTTTTTTTTTTTTTCTCTTTTCCATCAACATGTTCTACAAGTGCAAGAAAAGGGCCTAAGTCACCCACAACTATTTCTTGTTGTTCACGATTCTCTCTCAAAAAGGGCCTTGGCCTCTTCCCTACATCTTGTTGTCACGCCTCTTTCTTCAAGGCAATAAATCCTTTCCTCTTCAAAGTTAATGCATCTTTAACCATTCTCCTGTACTCTACTTTTACCAAAGCAAAGTCACCATCAATCACCTACCACACCACTTCTTTCCTAATCAACTTTCTCAAAACTCATTTCTCACCATCACCATAGAAAGTCCTCTATTCTAGAACATATTCTCTCTTCAAAAAGAACCTCTCCTCTCACCTACCAAAAAGGTCAAAATTCCTTTCTCACTCTCACAAGGTTATTTCCTACAAAAAAGGTAACATTCCTCACTTTATCAAAAAGCACTTCTCTCATCCACTAAAAATGACAACATTCCTCTTTCTCTCTCTAACAAAAAAGTTATTTTCTCTCTTCGTACAACCTCTCTTACCTAAACGGTCTCCCTCTCTCTCTGGTGAACAATCCCTCATCAACCAAAAAAGACAATATTCCTTTCTCTCTCTCATAAGATTGTTTTATACCAAAACGGTAGCATATCTCTCTCTCTCAAAAGTTATTTTCTCTTTCTTCAGGCCAACACTTCATACCAACTCTTGATTCAATCCATTATCTAAAAAGGGGACTTCCTTCTTACTATCTTCTCTATCTCATAAAAAATAAAAAAGTAAAAAATAAAAATAAAAAGAAAAATAAAAATAAAAATAAAAAAACATCGTCTTGCTTTCTCCCTTTATTGCTTTTATCATGTCTTCATCTATTCAATTCCCAAATCTTCTTTCTCAACTTGTCACAATCAAGCTATCCAATGACTATTTTTTACTTTGGAAAGGCCAAATTATTCCTATTGCTAGAGACTAAGGAATCATATGACATCTTGATGGCTCTAAACAGGAGCCCCATAAGTTTCTCCTCTCTGATAAAGATGCTCCTAATCCAGAATATGAACAGTAGTACACTTGTGATCAACTTATCATAGCATGGATCAACTCTACATTATCCCATGATATCCTGGTACAAGTTCTTGACAATGTCACTGCCAAAGATCTTTGGTCTACCCTTCATGATTCCTATGCCCTACAATCTGAGGTGCGATTGATTCACCTTCACATCGAGCTTCAAAATTGCACACGCGGGGCACAATTTATTCAAGAGTATTTGAATAAGATGAAATCTCTCTTCGATCAGTTAGCAATTATACAACATCCAGTTTATGACAAAGGAAAAGTTCGCTATGTTTTACGAGGGCTTGGTGAGGAATACAAAATATTTGTTACTTTAGTTATAGCTCGACCACCTCTCACATTATACACATCATTCCGCCCTCTCCTACTGGAACATGAGTTGTTGTTCAGTTTTTCACCTATGGGAAATAATGACTCAACCACTGCATCTGGACGTACACATGAGGTTCTCTATGCATCCTCTCTCCAAGGGGAGACGAAGAGGACGAGGCCATGGAAGAGAAAGAGGACTTGGTCATGGCAACTTTAGCACACTATACATGTCGAGGAAGAGGACCTTTACCAACACCACCAACACACCCTATGAATAGGACCGGTGATGAATCCTGTCAAATATGTGGTCGCACAAATCATCTCACTCCTCAATGCTATTATCAATATTCTCGACAAAATTCTCAAAACAACCTTAATATGAAGACCCCCTCTTTGGGTTCTTTGTCTCTCACCCCACCCTCTGAGGTATGTTCGATTGTGGACACTGGAGCTACAAATCATGTAGCTGATGATTTAGATATGCTTGTTAATGCTATTCCCTATGAAGGTTCATGTCGTATCATTATAAGTGATGGTTCCTCCGTTCCCATCTCACATATTGGTAATGCCTATGTTGCTTCGTCCATGGGTTCCTTAAAAGTGCTTAATGTTTTTCTTGCCCTTAAATTTCAGAAAAAAGGTCCTCTCTGTATATTAATTTATTAACTAATTTAATTGTTCTTTCCTATTTACACCCAATGCTCTTTTGGTGAAGGATCTTTGGTCCGAGAAGCTCCTCACTAAAGGAGAACGTCGGGGCAATCTCTATTTTCTTAAAAGTGATGAAGTCCATGCCTTGTTTGTTGCAGTCCTAGCCTCTACAAGTAGTCCTTGAGTTTCTGCAGAACTATGACATTGTCGATTAACTCACACCAACTATGCTCTAGTAGACCACTTGAATAAACTCAACGCCTTGCCATCTTTATGTAATAATGTGCCAAGTAACATTGTTTGCAAAGGCTGTTAGCTTGGAAAACATCGCCAATTACCTTTTTTTTTTGTACAAATACCTGTACTTTTCGCTTCCTTGAACTCATTCATACTAATATATAGAGACTATCCAATGTTACTTCTCTCTCTACCTCTCACTATTATATTACCAAGTTCCATATCAGACTCAGGCGAGTCCAAGTTGGATCGGGAAAATTTGAATAAGAAACATTAAAAATTTATGAAAGACCATGCAGACGACTCCAGGTCTTTCGGCACAATATCTCCTAGCTCTCGATCCTATCCGCCTTGGGTGGCTCCCGATCCGAAATCAGCAATTTTAAACTCTTAACTAGCCAAAATAAAGATGAAAATGCTATATAAGACAAATCCCAAGAAGCACAATCAAGGAACCAATTATTTTTCCAATCAAATGAATCTCCAGTATTGCTTGAAATATAGGTTACTTGTAAAATGGTATGCAATCTCTATCGTTGCAATCAAGTGAAGTTATCTATGAATCTCTAGAAATACCTTTTTGACTTCATCCAAAATTACAATGAAAGGAAAAGAGTTCGATAACAGTGGAAGAAAAAGCAATGCTAATGAATCAATTTATAGGTCGTAACTTGTGGTTGGACATAATTTAAACAATACACAAATACTGATTCGAATCCGATTAGAAACATTACTAACCCTCCATCTGGAGAGAGAAAAGATAATAAAAAACTAACAACTTCAACAAACCATTTCCACCTATCCTGAAAACCATGAACCCTAACATATGCAGAGGGGAACTTCATACTTGCATTAGATTAGATCTTACCAAGAGAGTTTGCTTACAGGAGTGCGGCGTCTATAAGTGGCTAGAATATCATCTCTTTCTCTAAAAGTTGCGTGGCCTTCCAATTCACTGGTGAGAGGAGAAGAGTCGATCGTTGCAGAAGGCTTGAAGAAGGAGCTGATCTTCGACTGTTTAGAGAGGCCTGACATGGCAAGCTAGGGCTGAATTCCTAGGGTTTTCTTCACTGTAAGATTAGAGATGGAGAAATCAATTTAAGTTTCCCGCTAAATTAGTTATAAACACTAATATTCCTGCCAATTCAGTTACAAACATAACCAGACCAAGTTGGACCTAGCTGGGAACTAGAACAATAAATCTTTGTAGAAAGAAAATTATATGGTAGACCCTCACATTTGCACTATTCATATAGCCCACGGCTCAATCACCCACCTTGAGGGAACACGAGACCGAACTGTTCAAAATAAGTCAAAGAATCTGGCTCTAAAAAAATTGACTTGAAATTCAAAAGGGTGCGGTTTGTATAAAGCCTAGGCTCTAAACAATCAAATTAGAGCCTACCTTTAAATAGTGTCGAGAAATGTGGTTTCAATACTCGAAATCTTTGTGAGAGCCTTAAAATATATTTTCATCTTTATTTATAAAGTTTAAAGCTTCAAAATAGCGTAGATCAACATATCCATAAAACCTTGAAAATCTTGAAAATTGACAGTTCAAAAATGCATTACAAAATACACTATTTCCAAAACATGAAATCCATTTTTTTTCATGTGCATACATCTTGATGTCGAGATGATCAATTTGAAGATATTTGGGTATCAAAACAACCTCTTCTAGTGAGATTTTTGTGGTAGGCTCAAATTTGATTGTTTAGAGCCTCAACTCTGTATAAACTTTTCCTTATATATATATATATATATATATATATATGAGCAATGATCCAATACAACGGTTGTATTATAGTATAATGCAACGACGCCTCTACAAAACCATGTTTGTGGTATT